ATACAGAGTTGACTGTTTCGATACCAGCAGCGGGTGCAGCAAAATCCCTCCCATTTTCTTATCAAGTTTTCCATTTGTCTCAGTGAAGCAAATCCAATTTAAAATACATCTTCAGAAAAAGGAGGGCCAGTGAGTTTAACTAGAAGAATATTTGCTAACTGGATTAGGAAAACTCGCTCTGTGCTGAAATGTTCGAGGAAAATCCTCTTAGTACAATTTTGCAGGAGCCAGGCATGTGAAAGGATCATTTCCTCTCTATCATCCCCTGAGATCAGGGCTCTGGCTGGATGAAATGAGGCAGGAGTTTATTAGCTGCTTAGCTGATTAGAGCCTATGCTGATGAGGCTGAGCTCTGACAAGTCAATGTCAGAGAGAGATCTTGGTTTCCAGCAGTTTTTAACTCTGCCCAACTCTTTGTGGGAAAGAGCCTGGATAAGAAAGGACACCCACTACTTACTCAAAACCACCATCCCCAGCAGACAAGCAGCTCATGGAGCTCTCCCTGGGAAAGACTGAAGGCTGTGGAGACCTAGCTGCATATTATATTATATTTTGCATCATAAGGTCTTGATACAGAAAAAACTCAGTTTCCAAAACTGATGAGAAACCCAGTCCTTTTTTTTTTTTTTTTTTTTGATAGAGTCTTGCTCTATCTCGTCTCCCAGGCTGGAGTGCAGTGACGCAATCTCAGTTCACTGCAACCTCTGCTTCCCAGGTTCAAGTGATTCTTCACCCTCCCGAGAATCTGGGATTACAGGTGTCTGCCACAACACCCAGCTAAATTTTGTATTTTTAGTAGAGATGAGGTTTCGCCATGTTGGCCAGGCTGGTCTCGAACTCCTGTTAGGTGATCTGCCCACCTCGTCCCCCAAAGTGCTGGGATTAAAGGCGTGAGCCACCACACCTGGCCAAAAAATGATGAGACACTCAGTTGTTTGGATAACAGGGAGAATGTTTAGTGTTCTAAAAACGTATCCTTTCACATGTAACGCTTCCTGCCTCTGAGGCTTTGCCTGTGCTGTTCCCTCTGTTAGGGTCGTATTTCCACCCTGCATGCTGGTGAATTCCACTTTGCCCTCTTGCCCAAGTGTCATCTTTTCTGGACAGCCCTTTCCTGTGCTGCCCATCAAACAGGTCGTCCCTTGTTCTCATGCCACTGCTGAACATTGTTTATTCCTTGTGCTAGTCAGGGCTTTGTCAGTTGTAACAACTGAAACTCCACTTAGACATGTTTCAGCTAAAGGGTGACCTACTGACTTTTGTAATTGCAGAGACCACGGTATGCCTGAATTTAGAGATTCAAAGAAGTCATTTTCTCTCTCTCTCTCCTCTTCCTCTCCTCCTTCTCATTTTCCTTATCTTTTTCTTTCCTCTCCTCCTTCCCTTGTTCTTCTTTTTCCTTCCTTTCCTCCTCCTTCCTCTCTCCCTACTTCTTTCTCATTCTCTCCCTCTAATTTGCTCTATTCTCAATATGGGCCTCATTCCTTCTACTGCAAATAAGGAAAATGACCACCTGGAAACCCAAGGCCCACCACATCCCAGCAGAGCCACCCCAGCAGAAAGAAACCCAGCTTCCCTCTCCAGCATCTACACATCAACCCAGGCCAGAACTCCATCGGACCCTTGTGAGACATGCTTCCATACCTCGGTGGACCGCTGAGTCCAGAGAATTCAGAATAATGACAGGCACTTCTGGGGTCATGGGCCTTCCCTGTAGCTAAGGTGACAGAAGGACAGACTGGTCTGGAATGTCCATGCCAGCTGGCTCACATGGCCAGCCATTGATGCTGGCTGTTTTCTGGGAGCTCAGTTGTGCTCTAGACCAGAAAACCTCCATGTGGCCTCTCCGCATGACTTTCATTTCTTACAGCATGGTGACTAGGGCCCAATGGGGAGACTCTCATGAGCAATGTTTCCAAAAGACCAAAGTGGCAGCTGTGAACCCCCTCATGGCTGAGCCTCAGCCCCCATGCTGCATCAGAGCCACTGCCGTCTTGGCTTCCCAGGGGGCCACCCCAGAAGCAGCATGGAAGGGGACGTGGAAACCAGGAGGTTCCAGGGAAGTCCCTCTGATATAATTTAGATATTTATCCCTACCCAGATTTCATGTTAAATTGCAATCTCCAGTGCTGGAGTTGGGGCCTGGTGGGAGTTGTTTGGACCATGGGGTAGATCCCTCCCACGGACTCTCTCTTGCTTGCTCCTGCTTTGGCCACGTGATGTGCCTGCTCATGACTGTAAGCTTCCTGAGGCCTCCCTGGGAGCCAAGCAGATGCCAGCACCATGCTTCTTGTAAAGCCTGCAGAACCATGAGCCAATTCAACCTCTTTCTTTATAAATTACCTGGTCTCAGATATTTCTTTATAGCAATGCAAGAATGGCCTAATACGCCATCTTTGGAGACTAGCTAGCATATGGGCCTTCTCCATCTGTAGCTACACTTGTAGAACACAGGGGGCTTCCAAGACCACTGCAGCAGCTGGAGGAAGAGCTCATCCTGTGGGATGTTCCCAAGGCTCAGATCTGTGGTTCACATCACTTCTGCCCACATTCTATTGGCCAGAATCTCACTCCCTAGCCTCCACCTGAGAGCAAGGGAACCCAAAGGGAAGGATCTGCTGGGGGCCATCTCTGCCACAAGGAGCAAGTGAAAGCAAGTAGAGAGGAAGCCAAGACTGATGCCCAAGTGGGAGAGGTGCTGAGGAAAGAGGTATTTCTTTTATTTTGACAGAGTTCTGAATGTTTCAGAGTAGTCTGAGTGCACCCAAAAGCACAATGATTAAATGAGGGGCAGGAGAGTGGCTTAGAAGATTGTTTTTCTGGATTCAGCTCCAACAAAATTTGTTCCCCACATCTTGGTGCTGTGTCATGGTCCTTCTCGCCACTGATATTCAGCCTTGATACCCTGCTGTGGCTCTACCAGGGAGGGAAAATACTTTCCTGCCACTGCCCTGAGCCTCCTGACTGACCCCAGCTACCTTGGACATCCCAGCTTTTGGGACTACCTCAGACCGCCCTATAACCAACAATCAGAGGCTGGCGCAGCAAGGGTGCTCTGGTACCCTGCCTGGTGCTCCAGGGTGACAGGCAGCACGTGCTATCATTGATCGGTGTCTGTGCAGTATTTGCTAGAGTTTTGTGGATCTCAGCCTTGAAACCTGTGTCTTTTTACAGTCAAAGGGTCTGAGTTGGGAGAAGGCACCTAGATATGCTCCACCATAGCGTTCTGGTGTTTCCTGTCATCTCTGAAGCCTCTGAGCTCTTATAACAGGGGCTTAAAGACTGTAGCATTGGGATATGAAGACTCGTAGTTATTGTCCAGTTCAGGGGACTTTAACTCCAAGTATCTGGAACTTAGAATAAATCCTCATGCCCTCACCATGGCAACAGGGCTCACCTCCTTTGTCTCATACCTCTCCCTCCCTTGGCCACTATTGCTACAGACATCCTGACCCCTTTACCTCTTTATTTCTGCCCCAGGGCCTTTGCTTGGGCTCACTTTCCTCCGAGAATAATTTACCCCTGATATTTGCCTGACTAAATCCTTCTCACTTTTCTGATTGCAAAGAGGCTTCCTCGACAACTCATTCTGAAGCAGCTTTTCCCTCCAGTCTAGCTACTCTCTCTTTCGCTATTCTGTTTGATTTTATTTATAGCACTTAGCACTGTATGACATTGTTTATTTTGAAATTGTTTATTTCTCTCTCCTCAATAACACAAGCCCGAGAAAGACAAGGAATATGTTTTTTATTCTGTTTCTATCCCTGGGCCCTCGAATAGGGTCTGGGAGGTGATTGCAGCAGAACCCCTAGCTGAAAAGGCAATCCTGTGCTAATTAGAAAAAAAGAGCTCCCTTGTCCCCATCCATGCTTTTTTTTTTTTTTTTTTTTTTTTTTTTGATGGAAACTCCCTCTGTTACCCAGGCTGGAGTGCAGTGGAGTGATCTTGAAGAGAGCCCTTTCTTGATATACTTTATCATCTTCTGCTGGAAGTTTTTTATACTCATTATACAAACCCACCCTATCTGTGACTTACACGACCTGTATGGCCCTGCCTCCATCCCATCAAAAATGCGTGTGGAGTGAATGAATGGATTGGTGGAAGTCAGGGGGACTGGAATATCTGGAAACAAATGTCAGCGTGTGTGGCCAGCGTCTGTGCACCTCTCTTGGTTTGATTGCATCTTCTGTGCATTGATTTCACAGTGCTGGGCACAGGATCCCTTTTTTGCTCATTACCGACAAAGATTTGTCAAGCACCCACTCACTGTGTTCGCTTGGGGAATTCAGACATGAACAAGACACGATTTCTTGATTTAAGAAGCTGAGATTCTAGAGGGCCAGGCAGTGATGTGAAAGATGGTGCAGTCCAGGGTCCTAACAGCTGTATTAGGAGCCAGCCCAGGGCTCTCCTGGAGACAGGACACCTGTTCAGTGCAGAGGACTCAGTAAGCCTTTCTGAAGAAGTGATTGAGCGGGCTCTGAAAAGATGGAGAGGTTTGAGCATTGCTAAGTGCTTTGTACAACTTACAGAGATCCATGTTGCCCAGTCTCCAAGCAGTCTCATGTTCAGCAGACAAAAGGCAATTTTCAAATGGAAATTCTTTACTTGCATTTCTATTTCTATTTCCTCCCTTCCTTCCTTCTCCCCAACTCCCCCCCGAATCTTGCTCCGTTGCCCAGCAGACTGGAGTGCAGTGGTGTGATCTCGACTCACTGCAACCTCCAACTTCTGGGTTTGAGTGATTCTCCTGCCTCAACTACCTGAGTAGCTGGGATTACAGGCACATGCCACCATGCCTGGCTAATTTTTGCATTTTTAGTAGAGACAGGGTTTCACCATGTTGGCCAAGCTGGTCTTGAACTCCTGACCTCAAGTGAGCCACCTGCCTCAGCCTCCCAAAGTGCTGGGATTACAGGTGTGGGCCACTGTGCCCGGCCCTTTACTTGCATTTCTTAAATTCTGTGAAGTCAGTAGGGATTGTTCTCTAGAATTCCCTTTTACTCTCCTATCCAGATTCCCCCAGATCCCAGTTCCCTCACCTCTTTCATGCAATTTTTCCTGCAAAACTCCACCCACAGCTTTCAATACCTCTCCCCACTTCTCTGCTCTTTATTGTGAAGACAAGCACAGTCTCTTCCTTTTGGGACCATTCTTCCCTCCTCCAGCTTTTCAGGTCTAATAATGTATCCACTCTCTATCACAAAAGCCAAGTTAGAATTCTCATTGGAGCGCAGCCCAGGTCAAGAAACTGCAGATACAGCAGAGGGAGAAAGGAGGTTCAGAACACTCATGTGTTAATTGTTTTGGTCTCATCACAGTTTCTTTTTTCTTTTTTCTTTTTTGAGAGGAAGTCTTGCTCTGTCACCCAGACTGGAGTGCAGTGGCGCGATCTTGACTCACTGCAACCTCTGCTTCCTGCACGCCATCATGCCCGGGTAATTTTTGTGTTTTTAGTAGAGATGGGGTTTCCCCATGTTGGCCAGGATGGTCTCGATCTGATTCGTGATCTGCCTGCCTTGGCCTCCCAAAGTCCTGGGATTACAGGCATGAGTCACCACACCTGGCCGGTCTCATCACACTTTCTAAACGACTATTATTACCTAATTTCCCAGATGAGAAAACTGAAGCTCAGAGAGATCAAGCGACCTGCCGGATATCCCAAAGCTAGTAAGTGCTGGTTCTTCCTGCCTGCCATACTTCTCTTCCCTCTGTCTTCCCCTTTGCCTACTTAACTTGATTCAACCCAAAGAGAAATTTCCCCAGGAAAGCCATCCCTAAACATCTTGCCTTGGCCAACCTCCCCAACTACCGTACACTTCAATAAGGCTGTGAACTTTCCCTTCACAGCCCTTGTCACATTTGTAATTGTGCATTTCTTTGGATTATTCCTGGGTTAAAGCCTATCGAGACTTTAAACTTTTTTTTTTTTTTTTTTTTTGAGATGGAGTCTCACTCTGTTGCCCAGGCTACAGTGCGTTGGTGTGATCTCAGCTCACTGGGTTCATGCCATTCTCCTGCCTCAGCCTCCCAAGTAGCTGGGACTACAGGCGCCGCCACCATGATCAGCTAATTTTTTGTATTTTTAGTAGAGAGGTAGTTTCTCCATGTTAGCCAGGATGGTCTCAATCTCCTGACCTTGTGATCCACCCGCCTCGGCCTCCCAAAGTGCTGGGATTACAGGCGTAAGCCACTGCACCCAGCACATTTATCCTTTCTAATACCAACAATTCAATTACATTCTTTTAGTTATTTGTAAATGTACAATTAAGTTATTATTGACTACAGTCATCCTGCTGCGTGAGCCATCGTGCACAGCCTAGACTTCAAGCTTTTAGAATAGCACCTCTCTCTCTCTCTCTCTCTCTCTCTCTCTTTCTCTCTCTCTCTCTCCCTCCCATTGTATAACCAGTGAGTAAAACAACATCTGGGACATGTCAGTACTTGTTAAATATTTACTGAATGAAAGAATGAGTGACTGGAATTCAAACCCCTGTCTCCAAAATCCAAGTTCTTGTCTGACATCATGACTTGGCGTTCTCCAGGAGGAGAGGATGGGGGAAGGTCATTCCAGGTTCAGGAAGTACCATATGACCGTTTACAATGTGTGTTCTTTTCTGGCTGTGGCGGCGGTGGTGGCAGCTTGAATCTAGGCTGTATGCAGAGTGGTGAAAGGAGAAGCAGGAGATATGGACAAAGATGAGGGCAAGATGAGGAAAAGACCTTGCATGCCGGGCCAGGAACAGGGGCCACAGGGAGCTGATCATGAAACACACTGAGGGTGTTTCATCAGGGGAGTGACATGAGCATAGTCACATTCAGGAAAGATCACTGCGTGCTGGGAAGACAGAGGGTCAGGGCAGAGCCTGGAGGCCAGGAGAGTGCAACCATCAAACAGGGTAGAGAAGGCACAGTTCTGGACAGGGATGTCAGTGGCGAGAGGAGTGGTCCAGCTCCCAGAAGATGAGGAGAGACAGGAGGTGAGGATGGCCCTTCGGTTTCAGGTTTAGGCACCTGGACAGATGGTCTTACCCTCTCCAGCAGCAGAAAGCACTGAAGGGGAAGGAGGTTGGGGGAAGGGACTGCGTAGGCTGAGTAGCCTAAGTCTGAGAAGCTGGGCCACTTGCAGGTATTGGTCCAGGGTGCAGGTGTGTTTGGTGGAGGGGGAGACTAGGAAGGGAGGAGAAAGTCCAGTCTGTTTCTAGACCTCACCATGCTGCAGGTGTCTGGGCCAGCAGGTCGCAGATGGAGCTGTGCAGCTGGCTGCTGTTACATCCCTTTCTCTCCCAGCTGCCTTCAGCTGAGCTTAAGGCCAGCAGAGGCCAAAACACTTCACAAATGCAACTGGTCAGTTGGGAGGTGCGCTCAGAGCTTAGGAACACTGTTTGCCTTCTTTATTGTTTGCCATCATTCTTTTCTTTCAGTTTGGGTTTTGGGCCCCCTCAGTTTCTTTTCTGTTAACACTGAGCTATTTATCCATCCCTCTCAAGGTTGAAAAAGAGAAAGACTGTAAAAGTGCCCTGCAAAGAAGAGGCTTCCAACCCTCTGGGGTACTCTCTTCCTCCTCTTGTCTTCTGGGTTCATCCCAAATTATTCCCCAAGGGAAAAATCGCTCAAGGATTTAGGGCGGTGGTGGGGAAAGGACAGTCTCCCAAGAGGTCAGGTGAAGCCCCAGCCTCAGGGTGTTGAGGGAGGGGCTGGGGGAAGCGGGAGCCTGTTCCTAGGAGACACTGTTTACTGGACACCTCATCCTAGACGGCTTCCCCGAGTTCTGACACTGTCCCAGGAGTAGGAATCATTCATTATCCCACGCTGCGGTGAAGGAAACCAAGGCCAGGTAAAGTTTTGTAGGGCCCTCAAAGTTGCAGAGCTGGGAATAAAGTCCGGATTGGGACTCAGGTCTGTGGGCAATCCAAGGCTGCCCCCTTTACCCTTCAAATGCTCTTTCCTCCTCCGGAAGCCCTCGCGTCCTCCTCCCTACCCCACCTCTTGTTCCCCAAGCGTGGCCAGGGCTAGGGCTCCAGGGTTGCGCCAAGCGCCGTTCGGTCTTCCCGGGGAGAATTTTCCCCGGCCCGAGGCTAGGGTCTGGCGCTGGGGCGCCCCTCAGACCTGCGGGATCTCCCCTAAACTCTGGCGCGCTGAGCGCGGTGAGCGAGGTCGCCAAGGCACAAGTGGGGCGGGAGCTCGAGAGAGCTGGGCGCGGAGGCGCTGGGGGCGGGACGCGGGGCCCGGGAGCGGCCAGGGACCGCGGCAGCGCCGCAGTGCCAGCCCGGCGCCTGCGGCTGCCTGCCCCAGCCCCTTAGCGGCGGCTTGTTCTCTTCTCTCGCTCTGAACTAGACACAGCCGCTGCCGCTGCCGTCCGGCGCGCTGCAGACTCCCGAGAACAGCCCTGGCTGTCAGCGGGCACCAGCCGCTTCCTGTCCCCAGTGCTAAGACTGGAGGGGCGCACCATCGCCACCGAGCCAGAGGCGCTTCAGGAGGCAAGAGAAGTCCCCGCGCGCTCCGGGGCCCGGCGCAGCTCATGGTGAGCGCCCTCTGGGGCTCGAGGGTCCCTTGGCTGAGGGGGCGCATCCTTAGGGTGCCCCATGGGGCTGCCTTGGGGTCTCAGGGCTGAAATTGGGACCGCCCACAGACCGCCCCTGCAGCCCAGCCCGAAATGCTGCCGCCAGGGAGCAACGGCACTGCGTACCCGGGGCAGTTCGCGCTGCAACAGCAGCTGGCGCAGGGGAACACTGTGGGGGGCTCGGCGGGGGCACCGCCACTGGGGCCCGCACAGGTGGTCACCGCCTGCTTGCTGACCCTACTCATCATCTGGACCCTGCTAGGCAACGTGTTGGTGTGTGCAGCCATCGTGCGGAGCCGCCACCTGCGCGCCAAGATGACCAACGTCTTCATCGTGTCTCTGGCCGTGTCAGACCTCTTCGTGGCGCTGCTGGTCATGCCCTGGAAGGCAGTCGCCGAGGTGGCCGGTTACTGGCCCTTTGGAGCGTTCTGCGACGTCTGGGTGGCCTTCGACATCATGTGCTCCACAGCCTCCATCCTGAACCTGTGCGTCATCAGCGTGGACCGCTACTGGGCCATCTCCAGGCCCTTCCGCTACGAGCGCAAGATGACCCAGCGCATGGCCTTGGTCATCGTCGGCCTGGCCTGGACCTTGTCCATCCTCATCTCCTTCATTCCGGTCCAGCTCAACTGGCACAGGGACCAGGCGGGCTCTTGGGGCGGGCTGGACCTGACTAACAACCTGGCCAACTGGACGCCCTGGGAGGAGGACGTTTGGGAACCCGACGTGAGGGCAGAGAACTGTGACTCCAGCCTGAATCGAACCTACGCCATCTCTTCCTCGCTCGTCAGCTTCTACATCCCTGTGGCCATCATGATCGTGACCTACACGCGCATCTACCGCATCGCCCAGGTGCAGATCCGCAGGATTTCCTCCCTGGAAAGGGCCGCAGAGCACGCGCAGAGCTGCCGGAGCAGCGCAGCCTGCGCGCCCGACACCAGCCTGCGCGCTTCCATCAAGAAGGAGACCAAGGTTTTCAAGACCCTGTCCGTGATCATGGGGGTCTTCGTGTGTTGCTGGCTGCCCTTCTTCATCCTTAACTGCATGGTCCCTTTCTGCAGTGGACACCCCGAAGGCCCTCCGGCCGGCTTCCCCTGCGTCAGTGAGACCACCTTCGACGTCTTCGTCTGGTTCGGTTGGGCCAACTCCTCACTCAACCCCATCATCTATGCCTTCAACGCCGACTTCCGGAAGGTGTTTGCCCAGCTGCTGGGGTGCAGCCACGTCTGCTCCCGCACGCCGGTGAAGACGGTGAACATCAGCAATGAGCTCATCTCCTACAACCAAGACACCGTCTTCCACAAGGAAATCGCAGCTGCCTACATCCACATGATGCCCAACGCTGTTACCCCCGGCGACCCGGAGGTGGACAACGATGAGGAGGAGGAGGGTCCTTTCGATCGCATGTCCCAGATCTATCAGACATCCCCAGATGGTGACCCTGTTGCAGAGTCTGTCTGGGAGCTGGACTGCGAGGGGGAGATTTCTTTAGGCAAAATAACACCTTTCACCCCAAATGGATTCCATTAAACTGCATTAAGAAACGCCCTCATGGATCTGCATAACTGCACAGACACTGACAAGCATGCACACACACGCAAATACATGCCTTTCCAGTGCTTCTCCCTTTATCATGTGTTTCTGTGCAGTAGTTCATGTGCTTAGAAGCCTCACCCCATGGATTGGTAGTTCAAATAATTGGCCGAAGCAGTTGCAATAAACTCAGTCAAATATACCCAGCCTACCAGAGATGGACCAATGATCATATTAGAGAAGAGAGTATGGTGCTGCGTCCTTTAAAAAAAAAAAAAAAGTGATACTTGGTCCTTAAAAAATATGCTCTCCCCTCCCTTTTTAAACTAATGGCTTGTTCAGTCACTTGTTTGTATTTGAATTGATTTTTAAACAGCAGTTTGTGTGTGTGTGCAGTGATGCGGTGGGAGCACAGCTTTCCTGTGTCTGGATTCCCGTGACTCTGTGCTCATGTCATTTCTTCTCTCTGTGCTGGTGGGTGTCTCTTCACCATAGCTGAAGAAGTCTCCCTGATTTATTCTGGTGTCTAATAAACACAAATTATTTGTATTATGCGGTGACTGTCTTTGCTTTGCTGCACTGGGTTTCAGGATTGCTTCTGAGAAAACCATGAGTGCATCCTTAAAATGCAAAGAAGATATTTGCTGGGTCTGGAAGTACATGCTTATTCTCTTTACAGTTTGGCCTTAAAGATACACCAGGGCAAAGGACCTTGAGGAGCTTCTGTTTTCTCAGGTTTCTTTTTATTGCTTATACACATGTTGGCTCTGTGCTGAAACTTGGATTCAATGGCATGGCATTAGATCTTCTCAAGCCCAGATTTTTTTTTTTTCTTTTCTCATTTGGAATCCTTTTTGAAGTAACATAAGACAACTCTCCTGATTCCTAGACAGTTGCGATCAGTTCATTGAAAAGATCATGTAGAATAATACCTTGAATCTTTCTCTATCTGAAATCTGTAGCATGTTTTAGAATGACATGGCTTTTGAGAAATCGTGTTTTCTGAAGAGCTTTGAAATGTGTGAATCAAGATGCTTTAAAAAAGAAACGCTATTTTTAAATAGGCATTTTCCTTAGTGGACAAGAGCAAAATAGGGAAATGCTTTTTAACTAAGATGTAGAAGCCAGAGATGAAATGTGAATGAACTTGAAACTGGAATATCTGTAGGTCAAAGTGCTCAACAGAAAAGCCCAGCTGACTCCAATCATTTTGTTTTTGCTCTCTGCAGTGTGCACAGTCAAGGGGAGTGTTTTATTCCAGACCCACACCAGTTGAGAGCATATTATTACCATCAGATCTAAATGTGAGCACTATTAATGGAAGCAAATGAAATGAGAATATGCAATTTCTTGCAAGTCCCTGCTTTGAAGCAGTTTTATCAAGGACAGTTCAATCAATTTTGATCTCTTTAAGGATAATTTTATTGTCAGTCTTCTGTGCAGCCATATCTTGATCACTGCAAAATGTGCAGTTCCTGGCACATAATGCTTAATGAATACTTGTTGAATGAATGACTATTTCTGGAACAGTGAGATTGAAAGCAAGTCCTATTCAGTATGTCAATTTTTATATATAATTTAGTCAAAATGATACTGGAATCTGAGGTCCGTGTTCAGTTTCTGACCTCCTGTGAATGGATAGCTAAGCAAACCATTAGGCAACATTAGGAGCAGTGAAAAGTACACAGCTATAGGATTCAGGAGATGGTTGCGTGACCCTGAATGACTCAATTAACCTTTCTGGGCCTCATTTTCCGTCTGTGTCTGCAAATGGAAACACTTATACTAGATCACTGTTTACTCAATCGTGCTTTGCGATGCAAATGTTAATGGATGGGGTCTCTGGTGAAATAAGTTCAGCAAACCCAGGTTCAATACCTGCTTTCTCGATAGGACTTCTTAGAGCTTCTCCTGTGCACGATGCATCCTCCAGTTGGGGAAGTTTCTGTATCAGTTCCCAATGCCGTTCACCTTGTGAACCTTGTTTGGTGGAATTCCTGTTACTGTTTCTCTGGAGTCCACAGTCACGGTTTGAGAAACTCAAATCTAACTGATCTGGAAGTCTTTACAATATTCTGTTCTAAAGCACGGGTTGCTATAAGCAAAATCTTTTGTGAAAAACACTGGTCTAGGCTCCAGTTTAGACAAGTTCTGTGTTATGGAAAATAGATTATGTAAGGACTTTGGAATTTCCTGTAAAATATCACTCACCATTATTATGTAGTATGCACTAGGCATTGCTCTAGATGCTGGGAATATAGTTGTCAATCAAATTCTCTGCTGTCTTGGGACATTTATGTGAGTCGGGGGAGAGATAAGCCAATAAAGAGTTCTGTACTATACTGCACTGCATTGCACTGTGCTGTACTGATCAGGATAGGTAACGCCAGGCAGGGGTAGTTGCTATGTTGCAAAAAACCCAGGGTGAACAGGGTGGTGAAGCTGCTGTTTTATTTATGGTGGTCAGGGGAGGACTTTCCAAAGACGCACATGAAGAGAGACCTTGATGAAGTAAGGGTTGGAGGGCTGCTAATGTCTGAAAAGGAGAGCAATCCAGGCAGAGGGAGTGGCAAGTGCAAAGGCTTGGAAATGGGGTTGTTCTTGGCGCCCTCGGAGGAGTGTGGCTGGAAGGCTATAAAAGAGGAGCATGATAGGATTAATGTTAATTGCCATAGCAGCAATCGCAGCAGGCATGACGGAGACTCAGCCTGTGGTGGGTACAACATATGTATTAATTAATTTGACTCACACTGCCCTGTGAGGTAAGCACCCTTATTACCCCATTTTACAGATGAGGAGATGAAGGCATTGGCGGGCTGTATAACCAGCCTGTGGTCACAGAGCTGTTGAGTGGCAGAGCTCAACTTGAACCCAGGTAGCCTGACCGTGGAGTCTTTAATCCTAACTGCACTTTGATGGTGAGAGAGGATGCCAGGACACCTTCAGTCAGCAAATGCACTAGTTCACAGATCGGAACATTCAGTTTTTTGTTCATTTATTACGGAAATGGTTAACTGATTCATCCCCACAGCTATACGACAGCAGATCTTCATTGCGTGCCTGCTCTGTGCACGGCTTTGTGTTTGGAGGGAAGGCACCCTAGGGTTATGGGCAAAGTAGCTCTTACATGATGGGCCAAGTGCTTTCCTGTATTCTTATTTATTCCTCACATTAACCTTACACGTTATTATTTTTCCATTTTACAGATGAGGACATGGGGGCACAGAGGACCTTGAGGACAAGGTTGTTTGTCCAAGGTCATGTGAGTAGTGGTGGAACCAGGGTTCAGTGTAGGTCAGTGGTTCTTAATTGAGGGAACTTTGCACCCTGCACCCCCACAGATATTTGGCAATGTCTGGAGACATTTTTGGTTGTCACAGCTCAGTGTCAGGTGCTCCTGCCATCTTGTGGGTAGAGGCCAAAGATGCTGCTAAACAACTTGTGGTGGACAGAGAATCATCCAGCCCCAAATACCCATGTTGCAGCACCCAAGAGGCCTTGGCCAGGCGGACAGACTCCAGGTCCCAGCTCCCTGTCCACAAGTCCACCTGCCTGGGATTGGAGGCTCCACTGCCCTGAGTTTGAAGTTTGGTTCCACCATTTATTAGTCATCTGAATTTGGGCACCTTTCTGAGCTCTGGCTTCTTTATCTGAGCAATGGGCACACGAACCACACAGAGTGTATATAACACAAAGCACATGCCCCAGAACTTTCTTGCTCTGATACATGCTGAATCTTCTTTTATAATCAGGCCTCCATACACCATATTCATTGGTTAGAAGTGAGTCATTAAGTCCAAATCATATTCAAGGGGAGGCAATTAGACTTCACCTCTTCATGGGAAAAGTGCCAAAGAATTTGCAGAAAAGATGTTTTACATTTTATGCTTTATTTTTAAAAACTTGTTCTCACAGTTTCAGACTTACAGAAACCTTGCAACATGGTACAAAGAATTCCTAAATATTGTTTACCCAGATCCCCCAAACATCAATATTTCACTGTATCACTTATCTCTGTTCTTCCCTTTCTCTTCTGAGTCACCTAAGATGTGATGCCCATTTATTCTTGAGTATTTTGTTGCCTATTTCCTAAAAACAGGGAATTTTCTCATCTCATCTACAGACTTTATTCAGACTTCACGATAATGTCCTTTATAACAAAACAATCCAAGACCATGTGTTGCATTTAGCTGTCCCCTGTAATTTGAAAGTTCCGCTGCTTTGTCTTTCTTGACGCTGACCTTTGTGAAGATTACCTGGCCAGTTACTTTGTAGAATCGTCCTTCAACTCAGGTTTTTTGGTGCTTTTCCGTGATTAGATTCTGTCATGCACACTGGGCGGGAATATCACAGAAGCCATGCTGCACTTCTCTAGCTCATGGCAAGAGGGGCAGGTGCTGTTAATTAGTCCCATTACCAGCAGCGTTAACTTTGCTCGTGGGGTTACGGTGCTGTCCACCGTTTTACCCTTTATAATTAATAAGTATTTCCTTTGGAGAAATACTTTGAGACTATGAAGATATCCTATTATTTCTCAAACTTGCATCCATTGGTTTTAGCATTTATTAGTGACCGTTCCCTGAATCAGTTATTACTGTGGTTGTGAAAAGGTTGTTTTTAAAAAAATTCCATCATCTTTCTAAATTTATTGTTGGTTTTCTACTTTAAGGAAAAACATTTGTTTATATATTTATTTACATTGGCATAGAATCTTGGTTTTCTAGTTTTTTGTTTGTTTGTTTTTGAGACAGGGTATCACTCTGTTGTCTAGGCTGGAGTGCAGTGGCATGATCACAGATCACTGCAATCTTGACTCCAGGGCCCAAGTGATCCTCCCACCTCAGCCTCCCAAGTAGCTGGGACCACAGGCATATGTCACCATGCCCAGGTAATTTTTTTATTTTTGTAGAGACGGGGTCTCCCTATGTTGCCCAGGCTGGTCTCCAGCTCCTGGGCTCAAACAAACCTCCCGCCTCAGTCTCCCAAAGTGCTGGGATTTACAGACATGAGTCACCGTGCCTGGTCCAGGTTTCTAGTTTTTATAAAAGGTTGTAATCCTTTACTTGACACTGTTAATGAGATACTATTTTGACATTGCAGGTATGGGACCTGGGGACACATGTGTCCCATTTGTGGGATATTAACACAATGCTCAGTCTAGGAGCAACACTCAGAACACTGTTTTCTATTGTCTTCTAAGACTGTCCCTGCCCTCAAATCTCTCAGTGAACTGAGGGTATCCATACTTGGATTTAGGTTGCCCTAGATTTGGTTAGTGGGAGACCTTTAAGTTGGTTTTTGTGTCCTTTTGACATGCTGGCATTATTCTTTGAGTAGTTTGTTACTTTTCAACACAAAATATGTCAGACTCATCTTTCATATTCCCTGTCCAAGCCTTGGAATCAGTCATTTTTCCAAGGTGACCTGGGTTCCTTCTAGTAGAAAATAGTATGGAGAAATCAAGACCTGGGCACTAGGTTGTTTATTGTTACTGCGGTGACATTGTTTCTAGATCCTCTCAAAAGACAGAGGGAAGTTGATACATGTATATACATGCACACATATTCATATGTGCATATACACATACCCATGAGCATCTGTTTCTATTTCTATGCCTACCTATGTACATATATCAAATCCCATGCATTCATTTTGATATCTAGCAGACATATTTTAAACACCATCACCTCTGATTCAAATCTTGATTCTCTAATGTTCTAGTTCAGGAGACCTGGAAGTCAAAGAGATCAAGTTACTTTCCTAGGTTTTAAAAAATATTAAAATGGGAATAATTAGTTGCCTACCTTGTAGTTTATTTTCAGGGTTATGTGCTATGATGCATGTGGAATGTGTAAGGGCATTACACAATGAGAATTTTAAAATGGTCTTCTTGTGACTGCGTCCTTAGGAGCGGAGAGTACAGGGCAGAACATTCCTGTTTCTATGTAGTGGTTCTGCACTCCATTTTACAGGCAGTGTGGGAAGCTACTAGGGATCACGAATTCAAGAGTCAATATCCAGGAGAGGGATAGAGTGGCTAAACAGCAAACTAGACTTGGCCACACCTAGAATAGGAAGAAATAGGACAAGATGTCAAGCTTGATAGGAGGAAGCTGTTGATATGAGGGGAGAGTTAAGCGGAGAATGTTGAGCCCATGTGGAACCCCCTGGGCCTCTAGGCCAATTCGGGGGAAGAGCTTAAAGGGAATATGAGTATTCCTACTCACAAGAGCAGGCAGAGCCATCAGACTTTTGCTTTGACACTGTTAATGAAGTACCATTTTGATATTCCAGGTATGAGACCAGGGGACACATGTCTCCCATTTGTAGGATATTAATAATACAATGCCAGTTCCAGGGAAAACACTCAGAACATTGTTCTGATTCTCTTCTAAGACCGTTCCTGTTCTGAAAACTCTTAGTGAACTGAGAGTACCAGCACTCCACCAACACTGACAGAATAAAGGTGACAAGCAGCATTTGTTGACTACATGTTTTGTGAAGTGCTTTGTACATCTTCTCATGCAAACATTGCAATATTCTTGTGAAATAGGCACCATTGTCCTCATTTGAAAAAGGAGGAAAAGGAGGCCGAGAGACTTTCAATAGCAAGCCAGGTTACGCTTCTAGTAAGTGACAGAAGTGGGATTTGAAGAGCATCTACTCCCCACTTTTGGGCTTTACACAACTCTTTGGAGGGACTCAGGAAGAGGAGAGCTTCTTTGTGTATATTGCCCATGTGTCCTCTCCAGGCGAAGTATTTGAGGTTCTGAAACCATTATCAGACTTGGTTGTAAATTCCCTCTCCATCTTGGACCTTTTCCTATGCTCTTCCAATGGCCCTTTGCAATGGGTAATTAGACCTCAGTTGTCTACATGGGTGAGATCTGCTCAACATGGAGGGGGCTCTATTTTTCTACACCTTTGATAATTTGTGGATTTGGGAGAGCATGCCCAGTATGGCTTGCCAGGGCTAACACATATGTCTCCGTTCATATGTCAACTTGGCTTCATGGGTAGGGGCTGCCTGGAGTCCTGGGATGAGAAGGACTCCAAGGTTGCATTCCAACCAATGACATTGAGGGGCCTGGTTAATAAATGATTTCTATTAGGAGCTTAGGAGGTGGGGGATGTGTGAATGTTCTAAGTACTTGCCATTCTGGGTCTCTCAATAGCCCCTAAACCTGTCTATCCTAGAACCACTTGAAAGTTAAAATATTGATGCCTGGGGCCCACTCCAAATTAGTTAAATCCAAATTTCTAGGAATAGGGCCTAAGCCTCACTTAAAAAAAAAAAATTGAACGTGTTAGAATGTATATAGCCACAATTGAAAAACACCAT